GGAGGGAGGGAGGGAAGGAGGGAGGGAGGGAGGGAGGGAGGGAGGAAGGGAGGGAAGGAGGGAGGGAAGGAAGGAGGGAGGGAGGGAAGAAGAAAGGGAGGGGGGAGGGAGGGGGGAAGGACAGAAGGAAGGGAGGGAAGAGGGAGGGAGGGAAGGAAGGAAGGAAGGAAGGAAGGAAGGAAGGAAGGAAGGAGGGAGGGAGGGAGGGAGGGAAGGAGGGAGGGAGGGAGGGAGGGAGGGAGGGAGGGATGGAGGAAAGGAGGGAGGAAGGGAGGGAGGAAGGACGGAAGGAAGGGAGGGAAGGAGGGAGGGAGCGAAGGAAGGAAGGAGGGAGGGAGGGAGGGAGGGAGAGAGGGAGGGAGGGAGGGAGGGAGGGAGGGAGGGAGGGAGGGAATGAAATAGATTACCATAGTGATAATGCATCTATAAAAGAAGGCCATTCCTTTCTGGGTATCCTAAGAAGGGAGAATCCTTGGAACAGGAAGGAGCTGTAGGCAAGTCTATCAGGATGTCTCACAGGGACGGGTCTAGAACCTTCTCTAGACCTGCAGAGCTCCTCAGAGGTCTAGCCCTCTGCCTCCCCTCTCAGGACAACTTGGCCAGTTCCCTGCATCCCTTGGGCACCTTCCCAGGGGAGCTAAAGGCGGCCCCCACTCTGCCAATTTCCCTGTCTCCCCTCTACCAATTTCCAGGCATCAAAGACCAAAGTCCTGCCTCTGTGCCAGTGTCCAACGAGTGACACAGAGCCAAGGAAGTGTCCTATCTCTGTGCCAGACCCTCCACTCTTGTTGCAGGAGGTGAGGCGGACTGGTCTAAACCTCCTGGGACGATGCTGAGTTCAGTTCCTGCATCTGAAGTGCCCGAGGCATGGACACGTCCCAGAGACACCCAGCCCCACTGTCTCCATGTTCTGACTGTGTTCCTAGAATCAGCCCAGCCACGCTCTTCCCAGGATTGGCTCAAATTAGTTTCACTGCATCTCACTCCCTGCTCGAGTTGGGCTCAGAACATTCTGCACACAACTTACTGTCTTCCCAGAACCGGCTCTCACTCTCATCTGCACATGGCACCTCCCAGAATTAACCTATTGATTGAGGGCAGAAACTTCCTGTCTCAGCGACAGAGACACGCCATCAGAGACTCCCCCAGATGGTGCTAAGTGGGTCTCTCTCTTCGGAGGCCTCCGCTGTGTCAGCTGACTAGCCCACTCGCTATTAATAAACTGACTTTGCTTTCCCCCAAACCCTCTCGCTCTCCTGATCAATTCTCTTACCAGCCCGTGACTCAGACCCAGCAGGGTCTGGGAAGACCTTCCCAGTGGCATCATGATGAATCAAAGTAGGCGAGTCCAAGCGTTCCACCCGCGAGGTGGATTTCAATCAGGATACTAACACATACACCCTAATGTCGGGGACCCCAAAATCAGTGGAATGCATGCAACATCAAACTCCTCTTTTTGCCTTGTCCTTTTCCACTTAGGAACCCCACTTTGCAGGGAACCTTCTGCCGTCCTGCCTTGGTGAAAGCAACCATCACAGCCATTGACATCTGGCAGGCAGAAGCACTTGAGAGAAATTTGAAATGTTTTGTTTTTTGGAGAAATTGGGTTGAGAAGCAGGGTGGACTAGCTGTACAAGGTACAGTGCTTATGGCTGTCACATTAAGGCATGATTAAATCGAGGTGAAGGGGGACTAGTCACAAAGGGCTGAGCTAAGAGGGGTCTCGGCCAGCTCATAGACCCCCTCTCTGCTTAGGCTCCTCCCACCAGACAGGTAGCTGCTCTATGTACATGACCTCACACCAGCCCCACTGAACATCCTCATCCAAGAATCAGGTTTTGGTGACACAAGAGCACATGGGGATATCAGACACTGATGATTTCAGTGAAGGTTTGAATGCCAGTCGTGCATACAGAGAATCTAAAGGCTTCATGATTCTGCCAGCCCATGGCCACGAGCTCCCACAGCAGGAACCAGGCAGAGTGCTCAGCTGGCCTCTGGGGGGTCAGGAGGAGGAGGCTAGCAACTCTTGGTGGGACTGGCAGAAAATATGAGATAACGGAGCAGGAGACAAGAGAGCAAAGTTCACCAGCAGATAATCCTCAAAGGGTTCCCGTAGCCCTGAGAATGGGGAGGGAGGTGGCTAGACAGAGGGAATTGTGACTCAGAGGAGAGAAAATCTGGGCGACTCTGGAAAGAGATGCCGTGGCTGGGACAGCAGGAAGTGCAGGAGTAGTGTGGAGAAGATGAGGAGGAAGTCATGGAAGAGTGGAAGAGCAGAGGGGAATGAGGGTGGGGATCTGGAATATTCTAGCTGGGAAGGGATTGAGCTGAGGCCCTTCTGTCATCCTTGGACAGATGACATTCAGAGCCCCTCCCCAGCTCTATAGTTTAACCAAAAATGAAACTATTTTTGGTTGTTTTTTTCCAACAGACCTGAATCCAATCTTTTCGGTTGCTTCAAGAGGAACTGCACGCTGCGTGCGTGCGTGCGTGTGCGTGCGTGCGTGTGTACGAGTACGTGCATGCGTGCGTGCGTGCGTGTGTGTGTGTGTGTGTGTGTGTGTGTGTGTGTATCTCCGGGGAAGGGACCGAGAGACAGTTCAGAGGACAAAGCCATTGCCTTGCCAATGTCAGACACAAGTTCTTTCCCACTGCTCTGGAGCTTCTTTGGGCAATTCTGCACCCATGCCTGGCACTGCTGCTTACCCGATTCCCAACGCCTCGTGGCACCTCCAGACTCAAAAGAGGCAGCGTTGTGAGAGCCCTGTGAGTCCTGCAGAAACCCTCCGTGAGTATTCAGTGTGCATAAGCACACCCCTAAATAAAACGTGGGCGCACCACAACCAAACACGGGGAACGATTTCTCAACAACAGAGGGAAGGGAAGGAGTGGGGATGAAAATCAAGAATAATTGATATAAACAGGAAAAGTGGCTGCTAGGCTTCCTGTTCACATCACTGGGGGCCACCAGCTGCCCCTGAGGAGGCTGGGTCTGAATTCATAGTGGGGCCCTGGTGTATGTGTGGGGAGGTGTGTGTGTCGGGGGGAGGGGTCAGACAGAGGGATCAGGGAGAAATAATGAATAAAGGGTCCTGGCTAACCCTCAGCAGGGGCTGAACTCCGGTTTGGCGGCTTGCTAGGACGGTTCTCAGAATCAAGAGGACCAGTGTCGATCATGAGGACGCCCCATGAATCCAGCCCCTTTTCTATCTGGAGACCCCATGTGACCTGCCGGAATGACCCCTCTCCTGAAATGATTCTGCCCATCTATGAGTCCTGTCCATTTTGGGGTGATATGCTGGCAGTGGGGGGTGAGTCCTACTTGGTGGCATGGCTGACTTGAGGCTGACGATGCACTGAGGTGAACAGAGTCCCTCAGTTGTCACCTGTGCAGAAAGCCAGCGTGGTAAGGAGTGACAGGTTGCTGAGGAAACTGATAACAGCAGAAAGGACAGAAGAGGGACACTTCCAGCCATCCCACAATAAGTCTCACACCTATGCACAGGTTTGCAAGCACACATAAACACACACAAACGTATACACACACACTCACTCACCACATAACTCCCAGTCATCAAGGCGACCATGCCCTGAGGCAGCGTTGTGCCTTTTTCCCGTTCTGTATTGAAACCAAATTTCCCTGGAGTACAGCTTGGCCTTTGGGTCTTCTGAGAGAACCATGCTTCCTCGGGAAAAGCGGCAGACCAACACATGTCCGTTCCCCTTTTGGTGCTTGGTGTTTGGGGGTGTTCCATAAGGGGGCTACTCCGAGGCATGCTGGGGGAGGCCAGGGTACTGACGGGAAGCTCCCACCTCAGGCCTCCAGGCCTCGCCTGTACTCTGCAGGCTCCCCCCGAAGCCTTCTCTCCTGTCTTCATTCCCATCTCCGGAATTCAGGCAACACATCATTTCGAAACTTGCCCAAAGCACCAGCCACACAGCATCATCGTGAGGATTGCCACTGGGAGTCAGAAATTACAGAGCAGGACAGGCTGGAGCCTTGCTTCGCTCCTCACGTGAGAATTACAAGGTTCGGAGCAAGAGAAATGACCAGGTTCATGGGGACCAGGAGCCAACTTTGGTTCCAAAAGACAGAGGGGCTCTTCTGAAGATGAGTGAATGCTCCACTGGGCAGGGGGTGGGGTGACTGATTGGAGAGGATTGATCCTTTCCTTCCTCCTTACAATCTACTGTGTGCTTGAAATCAACCTCATTTCCTATTTCCGATTTCATTCATTCAAAACCCCCACAGGGATGGAGGATGAGAACACAGAGAGCCATAGAGAAGCATTCAGGACCACTACCACCTCATCCTGGGGGGTGGGGGGGTTAGATGCTTTTTCCTTTGAACACCTGGAAGGAAGATTCAGGTCCTGCTAAGGACGGGGCTGGTCTGTTCTTCTCTCCTGTCTACAACTCTTGGTGTCTGCACCCCAAATTCTCATGGGTGACTGGGCCCAAAACTTTCTCTGCCCCTTCTCTCCCCTGGATTTCAGCTACAAGGGAGCTCACCCCACCCTCAACACCCACACACACCCACACACACACACACACACACACCCCAACACATAGAATCTGCCAGGACTCAGCAGGAGACTGTTTTCCCCCAGGAAACAGCAGCGCCCAAGTAAGCCTGAGTGTCCAAGTATATTGATGGGGAGGCGTTTTTTTTTTGCACAGGGAATCCTGTGCTCAGAGGCCAGAGTTGGGGGGTGGGGGTGGGGAGGGGAATCCTGCCCAGCAGGGAGCAAGCCAGGCTTCACCCGCCTGCTGGGTCAGACACCGGTTGGGAATTGGAGTGGGGGGCCGCGGGGAACTCCAGGGTAGCGCGGTGACCCGGCCTGGTACCCAAGGGGTGGGCTGGAGGGGGGCTGCGGGCCAAGTGCCCTGACCTCCCACCCCTGCAAACAAGTCAGGGTGCCCCAGTTTCGGTGACTCGCCCAGTCTTAGGGGATGTGTCCGCGACCCTCGGCGCTGGCCCCCGCCCCGACACTCACCCGCGTGCAGGCCGCCCGCGTCGGGGCCGGGGTCGGGCGCGGCGGCGCTGGGCAGCGCGTCCGAGTCGGTGTAGGTGAGCCAGGTGGACTCGGTCTCCCGGGTCCAGCTCTCGTAGTAGCGGGGCTCGATGGCATCGGCGCGGCTGCCCCCGCAGCCCATCGTCCCTCCCGCCCGGTCGCCCGGCTCAGTCCGCCGCGGCCCCGCGCCCCTCCCGCGCCCCTCCCGCGCCCCGCGCCCCGCGCCCCGCCCGGAGCGCAGCTAGGCGGCCCCCGAGCGCGGGCCGGGTGGTACGCCCCGGTCCTGCGCAGCCACCAGGCCACCCCCACCGCCATTCAGGGTTTTTCCTCCCATCGCGCATCCCCACATCCTCCGTCCTGCCCTCTCCCCCTTCTCTCTCTCTCTCTCTCTCTCTCTCTCTCTCTCTCTCTCTCTCTCTCTCTCTCTCTCTCTCTCTCTCTCCATCCTCCCTCCCTGCCCGCTCCTCCGCCTCCTCCTCCCTCCTCCGTCTCTCCTTCTACCCGCTTTCCCGGGGCTAGGCCAGGGGCCCCAGCCGGCTCTCCAGCCATCTCAGAGACCGGGGGCAGTCAGTCGGCGCCCCTGTCTGACTTGGGCAGTCGTGGGGGCACGGGGTGGGGTTCTGAGACTTGGGCTACCCTCAGACCCTTTCTCCCCGGTCTGTGATTTCAGGATTCTCTGACCTTTATTGTCTGCCCCTCCTCTCTGGAAGGGGCTGGGGGCTGGGGAGGCAGGGGGTATGACAAACCCACCGGGGGCTTTAGTGTCTTTGGGGGTCCATCTACTACCCAGCCCGTTGGTTTTTTCCTTTTTCTGGCATCCTCAGCCCTGTCTGAAGCTCAAATCTGGGGTCCCAGTTGACCCTTTGCACAGAAACCTGAACAAAGCCATCTGAGAAGGAAATCGGTCAGGGCTGGGAAAGGGGCGGGCAGAACGCCCAGGGGTGGGGGTGTCCAGTCTGCCAGAACACGGTGCTGAATACGCAGTTCTCTTCCATTCACTGTGTACTGAATACTTTGCTTGGGGCCACACTTGGCAGTGCTCAGGGCTCTGTGCTCAAGAGTCTCTTTTGGCGTTGCTAGGGGAACCGTATGGGGTACCAGGGACTGAACTCGGGTCAACCGTGAGCAAGGCAAAGCAGCTACCCTCTATACATCTCTCTCTAGTCCCTGTACTGAGTACTCCTGTTGGTAAAAACACTGCCTGTAGAAATAATGTTTAAATGATACACTGTAACAATCTCCTGTATACAGGTTGTCTTATCCTGTTGAATGTCTACCCCAGACAGATTTCCCCTGCTTTCCAAAAATGGACTCATCCTCTCACGTTCAAAACCCTTCTCAAAGACGAAAAGGGAGAGAGCAAAGAAGCATTTGCTGCTACCCACTTACATGGGAAATTTTGTAAGGGTTCCCAGATACCCCAAAATAACCGAGTCATTCCAACTGAGTCATAAAACCCCCAAATCCCACTCGAAGAACAGAAGCAGAGGAGTGCTCGTGGGGGAGTCGCTCCTGGGGTGCAGAGGGGCTGCTCCTGCTGCTAGGGGTACCCCCTGCCCACTGCTGAATAACTATAAACCCCACGCCCTGAATGCCATCATTCCTTTTCACCTTTTGTTGTAAAGGAGAAGATCCTCTCCTGTTCTCTTTCAGGTAGCGAAAGCAGGTACTAAGGAATTTGGGAAAGCGAAGGTTCCCTGTTCAGATTATTCATTGAACCCCACAGAAATGCTGGCCTTTGTCTAGCACATTTAATTTGCAGCCTCTGGTAGAAAGGCTGAATCCAGGGCAATGCCAGCCAAGAGCAGGCCCTCAATAAATGTCCCTTGAAGAATAATAAAGTACCTTTTTGTGATCATTCAGTTCACTTGAATGATTATGATTCTCACTACAGAAGATCCAGTTGACAAAGAAGCTGTTAGAAGTCCCCAGGTCTGCGGCTAAACACAATCCTTCAGCAAGGGAGCTCAGAAACCCAGCCCGGGGCCCAGCCCACCTGCCCTGCCACTGGCTGCCCCATAGAAGGGCCCAGCACTCCTTACCCTGGTGTCAGCTCTAAGGGGTGACTGTTTGGCAGAACCCTGGAAGCCAGCATTCCCCAGCCAACTGGAACTTGGCTGCCTTGTGCCGCTGGCCCCTCAGGCCCCTGAATATGTTGGTTGTAGAAAAATCTGCTGTCTGGGATTTTTAAAAAAAAATTCTCAGCATTGCAAGCAGGTAGAGGAACATAGGTGATAATCTCTCAGTACCTGCATTGTAAACCATAATGCCCAGAGGGGGCTGGAGTGATAGCACAGCAGGTAGGGCATTTGCCTTGCAAGCGGGCAACATGGCTGACCCGAGTTCGATTCCTCCGCCCCTCTCAGAGAGCCTGGCAAGCTACCGAGAGTATCTCACCCGCATGGCAAAGCCTGGCAAGCACCCAGTGACGTATTCGATATGCCAAAACACAGTAATACTTGTCACAATGGAGACATTACTGGGCCCGCTTGAGCAAATCGATGAACAATGGGAGGACAGTGACAGTGAATGCCCAGAAGGAGCGAGAGAGCGAGAGAGTGAGCAGGAGAGAGAGAGAGAGAGAGAGAGAGAGAGAGAGAGAGAGAGAGAGAGGAGAGAGGCGAGATGGGGTGGGGTGGAGGCAAGTGAGTGGGGAGGGTGACAGGAGGGAAATCTGAAGTATTAGTGTTGGGAAACAGACTGGTGAAGGGAAGGGTATTGGAACATTGCATGACTGAAACCCAATCATGAACAACTTTGTAACCTTGTATCTCATGGTGATTCAATTAAAAAAAATTTTTAAATTTCTCAGCCTCTCTGCTTTCTGCTCTCTTCATAAGCAGCTACTTAGTGGGGTCAGTGCCAGAAGAACAGTCCAGACAGGAAGCAAGCCTGCATTTGGTGAGGTGCCAGGGTGTTCTAGAATATAGAGAAGGCCTGGAGCCCAAGCCCCTGGAGAAGAGGAAGGGAAGGTGGGCTGGAGAGCCAGTGTGGAAAGTGTGTGTGTGTGTGTGGGGGGGGGGGGGGGTGGTGAAGGCAGCAGCTGCCCAGGTGTGGGCAGGGTTATGGATAGGCTCTCCAGTCCCTGGGAAGCCCTCCAGTGACCCATCCCTGGCTCTGCCTGAGAGAGAGATCTGGGGTAGTGCTCAAAGGCCTGAGGGGGCAGGAGGATTTAAGGAACTGCACTGCAGCCAGGCCCTGTACTGGGCTATTTTATTCAGGGCACCCTGGGGGTGGGGGGGGGGCTGAGACCCCTCCCCACCCCAAGGGACCCAGCCCCGGCATTCTAGAAACTCCAGAACTCAACGGCCGCTCTCCACACGCTAGGGCTGAGCCTCACCCACGAGTGACTCTATTCCTGGTAAACTCATACCTCACACCACCCATACTGCAAGAGTACTGCACCATGTTTGATGGGGTTTAAAGTAGGAGGCAACCAATCTTAGAGGGAAATATTTATTTTTTACAGATATATATATATATATATATATATACAAGCACACAAGTCTCAACCTTTAACATGTTAGTGGTCTCTTATCACTGTTTCACTGTATCACTGTCATCCTGTTGTTCATCGATTTGCTCGAGTGGGCACCAGTAACATCTCCATTTATCCGTGTCGCATGCTAGTGTAGCCCAGTGACATATTGTGGGCTCTTCCAGGGTGAGGGGAATGAGGACCATCACTGTTACTGTTTTTGGCATATCCATTACACCACAAGTAGCTTGCCAGGCTCTGCAGTGTGTGATCTCTTATAGAAGGGCTTAATGGTCCCTGGGTGAAATACAACAATCTTCACATTCTTTCCTCTAAGGAAACTTTTCTGTGACATTTTCAGCAGTTTTGCATAACAAACAATACAAAATAAATTATTTCCGTTCTGCTTTGGGGCAGGGGTTGGGATTCAGAATGGAAACATTCAAAATATGGTGTTGGGAAGGTTTAAGGGTGGTGGGATTGGTGTTCAAATATTAAATGTAATCAAATACGGTGAACTATTTTATAAAATAAAAGATTAAAAATTAAAAAATAAAAAGAAGTTTTAAAAAGAGATTGATTTTTTTTTAAAATATGCCTCAACTGCAAACTTACAATGTCAACTGCAAACTTACAATGTCAAGGCATCCATTGTGGAAAACATAATTGTACAGAAGAATTAAAGTAATTAACTATGCCTTTTGTCAACAACTGGGCATACTGAACAGTTGGTTCTTTAAACATCTATTTTTTTCTTTCTCCTTTTTTTTTTCTTTTTGGGTCACACCTGGCAGTGCACAGAGGCTACTCCTGGCCTTGCACTCAGGAATTACTCTTGGTGGTGCTCAGGGAACAATATGGGATGCTGGGAATCGAACCTGGGTCGGCCGCACACAGAGCAAATGCCTTACCCACTGAGCTATCGCTCCAGTCCCTAAACAAGTTATCTTAAAGAAGCCTGTCACTGTCACTGTCCTCCGGTTGTTCATCGATTTGCTCGAGCGGGCCCAGTAACGTCTCCATTGGAGACTTTGTTGTTACTGTGTCTGGCATATCGAATACTCTCGGTAGCTTTCTGGGCTCTCCGAGGGGGCGGAGGAATCGAACTCGGGTGGGCCATGTTGGCTGCGTGCAAGGCAAACGCCCTACTGCTGAGCTATCGTAGGGGAGAAAAATCTGTATACAAATAATACAATTTTGTCAATTATTATTTTTAATAAAAAAGGAACTGGGCTTCCTCCCTCTGGAAAGAAAGATGGCGGCCACATGGGAGCCTTGTGGAGAGCAGGTATGAGCCGGGGGTGTGGGGGCGACTAAAACCTCATGGGAAGGGGGGCGTTCCGGTCCGCCCTTCACGCCCTACCGAGGCCACCAGTTGCCCCCCACGAGCGGCTCTCCAGCACGGCCACGACTCCAGAACACAGAAACCAATCTCTTAATTATCTGACTCTCAGTAGAAATACTTCCAGGGTTAATTAGTAAAATAGCGGAAATCCAAAACCAACATTTAATTCTTGAACCCAGCTGTAGAAAGCGAATCACTTCACAATGCTTTTTCAGCATGTCTGATTGGGGGGGGAGGGTAAACTCTAAATAATAGTGGTGCATCTTTTATTGAAACAATGAATCTAATCAAAGCAGATAGAGTGTTAACTAGAATTCATCTGCCTCGCAGGCACTGGGAGGGGTGAGGGGTGGGGTTTTATTGGGGTTCTTCAGGGTAAAAAATAAGTATTGGTAAAGGGAAATGTGTTTGATATTTGCAT